TATGCGTTACAAAGATCCGGCTTTTTTATAAGATCCGGTTACTAATGAAAATCAAAGAAAAAAAGTAAAATACATATTTCCTATTTTGTCGAACTAATCGCGGCTCCTTTTGCGGTCGCTCGCTTTGGTGGGTTCTTGCTGCGCCGGGTTATTTCCTGGACGCACCCGCGTTGACTCGCATCGGCGTCGGATCTACAGCGATATACGGGTTAAATAATTCCAACAAGGAATAATAGCCTGGGAGGAGTTGTTTCACCAGGAAACACCGCTCGAATCTCGGGATCTAAGAACCAAGCTTAGATCCGGAGTGTGATCGTGTTAGATCTCAGAATCCAATCTACTCGAACTCCTGCCATTTTTATTGGCGTTGATCGCCGGACCGGATCTGTTAATAAGAAAAATTAAAAATAAGAGTCCAAGCCTCCAAGCCTTCAAATTTCGATATGCTTTTTTAGATCTGAGTCTTCAATCCAGAGGGCTTCGCCTCTCTCACAAAATTTCCAACTCTGAAACAAATGAGCACAACGGCCTATTTATAGGCCACTCAGAACTGTGCCGCGGCACAGTTCTGAGGCCTAAGCCACCCATGGGTGGCTCGGCCTTTAGCCGAGCCACCATGGGTTGGCTCGGCCTAGTTCGAGCCACCTCAGGGGGCCGTGGGCCGGCCCACCTGGGGTGGTCGGTTCGGCCGAGTCCCGGGTGTTTTCCGTTTCGTCCTTGTTTCCGGTTCTGTTCTCTTGGTGTGGTTGATGGACTCGGCACGACTTGTTGACTTGATTCCAGATATGCATAGTCGGGTTCCTGATATGGCAGTAAACACAACGTTCTGAATTTGAGTCCGGAATGATGTTATTTGATCGTGATTCATCCGAGTTCGTGCTCTGTTTAGTGACCTCGTGATTCAACCTAAACATTGTTTGATTTCCCGCGTGCGAGTGGATGCATTCCAATGTTTTCTTTGTTTTTTTTTTTTTTTGGTGCGATTTGTCGCTCGTTAACTGCCTGCTCGCGTTTGGCGTATAGCTGCTTCAGCGTTGGCGAGCTAGACGGTCTTGTTGGATACGTTCGCCCGGTGGTCGCTTGTGAAATCGGCGTCGAGCTTGTGCTAAGGACCTATAGGCAATTTATAAACGGGGCCTACAGATACCCTCCAAAGTATTTCAGTCGCATCTTTTATGAAGAGTCTGGGAATACTGGATGTGATTGTCCCACCTCGTCGTGTAACGGTATCTGGAATGACTAAAGTTGTTAACTGAGATAGCAATGATATCAACAATGAAGAAAGCTACGAATTTTCCCGCGAACAGTAGCCAACCATGCATCAACTCATGGGCAAGTATAGAGCCAGTTAGCAACCTGAAAAGTACAAATGGTTCTGGTCACTTTTTTGATGGAATGAGTATTATCTTGTGTAGCCTACTAAGCAACACTGAAGTATCTTCATGGTCATGCATACATGAATTTTATGCATGTTGAAGTGCATGAATACATGCAAATCATGTTAACCTTGTCATAATATATTTGAGCATGTGGAACAAAAATCATACACTTACTAAAAAAATATGTAAAAGCTATGATGTTGAGAGCAGAGTATCTCATGTAAGCATTGAGGGCAGGGTGGTGTGCATATGTTTTCTCCTTCCTAAATGTCTAAGAAAAATACATTTATGATTCATGAGGATTTACATTGGAAAAAAAACGTACTTGGATGTTAGCGAATCAATTTGAGTTACCATTTCATTTTTCTTATAATATAAGTGCCCTTCGCTCTCACACTAGAAAAAGGAAAAAAGAAATCCAATTTAGTTTCCCTTTCTCTACTAGTACAAAATAAAAATTTATATTTGCAATCCATACAACACAATATTGTCTATGTTGAATTAATAAAAAAAAGAATGGGATATTAGCGCAAATGCTACAGTATAAACATTTTGCACAAGCGCCAGATTAAAAGAAAAGGGAATCGTTTCCTGAGTCTTAACTTGATCCCTGTGGCTTCTCTTATATCAAATCCTTGTACCATGCAAGTGCCTACTGCTTCTGGCATTATACTCAAGATACAAAGTTGGATGAGATAAAATGTTGACCGTAACCTAACAGATTAAGCTTTTGAAAACCATTATTGTTCCCTATAGTTTTAAAGGAAACATGAGGTATTGCCTTTTCTACTTATACTTTTCGTAAAACTATTTTTTATTGTTTGTGGGTTTTTTTTTTTGAGCTGAAAAGCAGAGAATAAATTTCCCTGCTCAAAATATATTCATATATGTACTGAAGAAGAAGTCTAAACATGTACAAACTTACAAAACTTACAAAAAAGACTGGGTTTTGGAGGAACAAGAAGAAAGGAGTCGATAGGGAGCGGACCTTGTCGTCACCTATCATGACTCTCCCCCCTTGTACCTACCTCACAGTAGGGAGGACCCCCCAGAAAAACAAAAGCAAAACTAATCACTGGCTGAAAACTATTTTTTTATTGTTTGTGGGTTGTTGTGGTTTTTTCTCGCTTTCGTTTCTTTCAAGGGAGAGAAGAAATAGAAACATGAGTTGTTGCGGCTCAGTAAATGATCATCAAATTATATGCATTGAATTTGTTCACTGACCATAAGTAGGATACAAAAATTATAATCAAATGTTATTTGCTCAAGTATTTAACAGAATTTAGTTTTCTTAACTTCCCTTCACCCCTTATAAATCCAAGCAGGCTCTAAAACCTTACAAATCCAAACAGGCTCTAAAACCTTACAAATCCAAACAGGTTCTAAAAGTTCAAATTTTGTCATCAGATAATCACATACTATGTTCTTGAACAATGTAATTGACGACGGTGCAACCTCGCAGCTACAAGTTACAATAGGTGAAAAACTAACTTATTTATCATTTGGAAGTATAAAATATATAAATCAAATGATTTTCCATTTTAAAAAAGGATCGGAAAAACTTTAGCAATAGCACGAAATGCCAAAATATAGTAGTATCGAATAAATTTTTTTTTTTTTTTAAAAATAAGAGCTTTGCTACAGGGACCCAAAATATAGGACCAATAGGGGGGACAAATGAGGTGTCCCCCTCCTATTGGATAATTAATGATGGCCAACTCATTATCCAATAGGAGGAGGACACTTCACTTGTCCCCCATATTGGTCCCATATTTTGGGTCCTTTAAGAATTTTTCTGACTTTTTTTCCCTTTTTGTTTTGTTTGGGTTAGGTCGGTGGGGGGTTCTCTTTCAAATTTGGGGACGAGAAGGAAAGATCGAACTAAAATCTTATAGGGACTCAGGCGCATCCCACCATATATCCATATTTATCTTCTCATATGCTTCGGGATATGTCGGGATTATAGGGATTTGTGTGCTCTCTAATAATATAATAACGAAAGAGTTTCCAATTATTGCAATTATTCTCGTATGTTCTAAATTCAAAGGACGATATTAGGCCTGTTTGGTTATTTCCTCAAAAACCAAAAAATAGAAATGAAAACTTAGAAATCTCAAAAAGTACAATTTCACACATTTCCATCCCTAAAACTCACCCACAACATCTAATAAAATTTATTTTTATCCAACAACTCATTCACCACATCTAATAAAATATTATTTTTATCTACCAACTCATCCATCACATCCACCACATCTAATAAAACATTATTTTCATCCACAACATCACTCAACTCATCTCATCTCATATTTAAAAATTACTCACATCATCCAATAAGATTGTGACAACTCATCTCATTGTTAGACCCTAGAGGGGGGTGATTAGGGTCTTATGCTAATCTAATCCCAATTAAAAGCTAATTAAAATTATATTGATCATTTTGTTCTTGCAAGAAGATATATGATATGGATATGAGCAAAAAGGATGAAAAGAATATACGCTAAGCAAAACACAAACACACGATATGTTCACGAGGTTCGGTCCCCACGACCTACGTCCCCGCTCCTCACCTCGAGGAGATATCCACTATCACAATCCGGTTTGGAAGCCGGAACTTCTACACACTCGGTTTACAAGTTCACCGAAAACTCTCACACTACACAAACACTATGCAATCATACTTTACACACTAAGTGTAGGAACCTAGCCTGTGTCCTCCTCCTCAAGTGCTCGATTACAACCTCTCCCTAGGTTCGTCAATCGACGCCACTCCTATTGGATTTGACCCCGTCTCTCGCCTCACACTTTTCTCGGTGTACAAGTGTATTACAAGTGATCCTCACAAATAAAAGTTAAATACAATGATTTGTTCTCAAATAACAAGTGAGAACTTAATGAAGCTCACATTCACTAAATCACACCCCACGACCCAATATATGATGTATGAAATGCTACAAACTCAAATAGGGTGTGTGTGATAATATGAGTATAAACAATTTCTAACTCAATTAACAAACTAGCAATAAATGATGATATGAAAATCAAAAACACATTTGCTAGAGAATAGAGTTAGGAAAACTTCTCTATGAATCACAAAGAGAGGATGAAGAAGATTGAGGGTGAATCCTTCAATTGGCAAGTAAGCTTCCTCCTTTGTAAACAAACACCAAACCCAAACTTGAGCATAAGCAAACTTTTAAACACTTGAAAATTCTTGTTAAAAACCTCTTGGTTAGTTGGAACTAATTAATGCACATGGGTATTTATAGGCTTGAAGAAAACAGCCCAAAAATCCAACCAAAACCCTTTAAAACATTAAAATAAACAAAGCTGGAAACTAGCCGTTACTGTGCCAACGGCTATATATAAGTCGACTTAACAGGTTACGCAAGTCGACTTGACAGAAGGAAAAACTGCTGCAGAAGGGGAGATTATAAGTCGACTTATAGTCGACTTATAACAAGTCGACTTACTGTTAAAAACAAGTCGACTTAGCAGAGGATAAATGCATATTCCAAGCTAGTTCATAAGTCGACTTATCAGACCTGATAAGTCGACTTATGAACATGCACAGACACTGTGCATGTCCAAAAACTGATTTTTGAAGGCTCTTTAAAAATAGTAAACAATTTCCAAAAAATGTAAAATCTTAGGAAAAGTTTATAATCATACATACAAACATGTTGGAAAAGAATTTTTCAATTTGCATTTATAATTTGTGAAAAACACTGTATTCTGCAAAAGCACTAAAATACGTATATATGAAAAACATGTGATTTTTATTTTTGACTCAAAATAAGTTTTGAAAACTGATGGAATATTTATATGGACATAATAAAAGTTGTTTATGATGTAAATATAGTCCAAAACTTATTTTGCATAAAAAACACGAAAATCACAAATATATGTGTGTGTGTATATTTGAGCTTATAGAGTTAACACACATTATATAAACCCTAAACTAAGTTACCCAAGCGATCTTGATCTTCAACGAAGCTTGACTTTGTACACTTGCGGATGAAGCTTGAACTTGATCTTTAACTTGAATTGTATAGGCTTCAACCAACATTATTCCACCAACCTCCATATTGTTGTGATCATGTAGGCTCAATACATCCAACCTCCAACTACATTGTTTGTCTAGAATACCTAATAAGAAACATAACCACTAGACAAACAATATTAAGAATTGTTTGTAATCATCAAAACAAGATTAGAAGATGTAGGCTCATGACATGAGACCTAACACTCATCTCATTAACATTTCATTTCTTTGTTTTCCTCCCAAAAAACTAGGAAAACAATTTCCTTAAGTGTAGGTCACATCATCCAATAATATAATGACAACTCATCTCATCTTATCTATTTTCTTATTTTTAAGAAATAACCAAACAAACTTTTTTAAGAAATTGGTTTCTTATAATTCATTTCCTTATTTTTTTCGCTAACCAAACAACATCAAAACAAGTTTTCTTAAAAAATTACTCACATCATCCTATAATAAGGTGATAACTCATCTCCATTTCTTTGATTTCTTCTTTTTTTAGCAAACCAAACACTCCCAAAACAATTCTTTGATTTAATAGTTTTCCATTTCTTTGATTTCCCCTTTTTTTGGGACAAACAAACAGGCATGTAGAATTATGTAGAATTCTGCTATTGTGACAGTGGTTTTCAAGTAATGATAATTTTGATATGCATAAAATCTTACCATTTATTGAAATTTTGATTCAATGAATTTATAATTACAGAAGATATGAGGGAGATTCGGTCATCCAATCTTTATCAAATAAATTGTTTCCCTATGAAAAGGGTTCTAGTTCAGTCTTTCAGAACTAACAGTGGATGTAATTTGTAAGTTCCTTACCATGATTTCTAGCCATTTTTAGTTGTTTCGAGCCAATGACAAATAATTTCACATAGTCTAAAATTCACAATTTCATAAGCTATAACCCATGATTTTTGGTCATTTTTAGGTTTTTCTACCCCTTGATGAACAATTTTACGAAGTCCAAAATTTAGGATTTCACAATCTAGAACCCACTATTTGTGGCTATTTTTAGTTATTTTTACTTATGAAAAAATAATTTCACGGAAGCCAAAATTCATGATTCATGATCTATAACCCATGATATCTAGCCTTTTTTTTTTGTTCTGATCTATTGGTAAATAATTTCACAAAGATCACAATTCACAATTTTATATGCTATAGCACATCAATCTTATCCATTTTTAGTCATTCTAAGTAATTGGAAAATAACTTTTATAGGCCAAAATTAATGATTAAATGGGCTAAAACCCACAAATTTTGCCCGTTTTAGTTGTTTAAACTTGTTGGCAAATAATTTCATGGAATATAAAATTAAGAATTTTATGAGCTATATTATAACCTATGATTTGTGGCCATAAAGATGAGTGCAACCAATAAAAAGATGAGTTAGGTGAATGCTATTTAATCAAAGTGCAAGACATATTTCTTGTACATGTTCCTCTCCCACTTGTCCAGTGCAAAACTGCACCGATCTGAACCAAACTGATTCGCATCGATGCAATTCAGTTACTGCAGCTGATCAGTGCAGTTTCCGTTGACAAAAAGTTGCCCGAAAACCGACTGCTAAGCTCTTGATTGAAAGGAGTAATAAGCAAATAATGAGATGTGAAGCACTACGTGACAATTAAGGTTTGATTTAAGGGACTGACATGCAATTAACCCTTTTTCTTTAACAAGAGCAAGATTGAAGTCTCTCCACATTCTTTTACAAAAGCAAGATTGAAATAAGAAGAGTAACATCGAAAAATGAGATACAAAGAAGCCAAAAGATAAATGGCACAAATACAGCAATCAACCAGTACAGTTGGTAGTTGTGTTTTCCTTCAGGCCAAAAGTACTGAAGGTAATTTGGTCACGAAATTCATCAATAACTTCTACATAATGTACAGACATTTGGGGTCATTCTATTGACCACTTTGACCAGTAAGAATGTAACAATTACGTACAAATACAGTCAGTTTAGTTACTTCTCCCATATCTAGCGTAGAGTTCACAAGAGTTTACAACAACGAGAACTCTGCTTACTGAGAAGAACCACCATGAGAAGCATCCCCAGACTCTGCAAATTACAAGATGCAAATAAGAAAATTAAGAACATCAAGCCTGGCGATAATGATGAGAATCAAGCGCAAAACAAACCGTGAATGGCTTCCAGGTTTTCTTCTTTGTACACTCCCAGAGGTGAGCCTCGAATGGACATGAGCATCTCACCCTTCTTAGGTTGCCTTGAAGTTTTCGGGGTCATGCCAAAAGATAGCCTATTGCTAGTCTCCTGTAACATGCCATGGATATCACTTTCTACCAAGCATTAAAAATAGGGGTTAATTGCACATAGACCCCCCGTAAATTGCTGCTTTGATCCCTGAAGTTTCATTATTGTAGCTAGACCCTTGGCTTAAATTCTTTTCGATTCTTACCCTAGGTGAAATTTGGTAGATATTGCCTTATGGCGAAATTAGAGAGTCTATCTGATAGTAAAAGATCAATAAGAGTTCAACCCAGGGGCAACAATGAAACTACAGGGGTAATAAATTCGGATCTATGAGCAATTGACCCTAATCACAAGAATGGCTTTAACGACATTTGCCAACATGTAATTGATCTCGCACAATATGATATAGATAAGTACAAACCCCAGGAGTTTGGAAAGAATCTCTTATTCCCTGCATTTGATCCTCTAAAGGGTCATCCAAAACCTGCAACATAAGACACATTTTCAAACAACAGACATTCTGACGAGCTACCATGATTATTGTACCGCAGAATTCATTAAAATCCACTGATAAAAAGTAAACTAGCATACAAAATTTGGAATCTGAAGGTTTGCAATGTTCAGGTAGCTGCTCTTTACTGCCAAAAGAAATATAAACAAAGTGAGAACTTGTCAGTCTCTATAAATGATGGGAACAATCACATTACAACATTATAAAATGAACAGAGACCTGATCTCACTGAGTGTGGTATATAGCCACCAAGTTGCAGTGTTCTGGAAACATCAACTGAATCTGGCATGATTCCACCATCATTTTCTGTAATTCTCCATTTCAATTCTATTATTTTAGCTTTTTCATTTATTACTGGAGAGATATTGGGCAAGTTCTCCTGGAAAAACTGGAGTGCAGGTGTCTCAAGCTGTTCCTTGCTGATGGGAGAGATATTGGGCAAGTTCTCCTGGAAAAACTGGAGTGCAGGTGTCTCAAGCTGTTCCTTGCTGATGTACGAACGAATCAAGCGCAATCTAGAGAGCAAACTTTGAACCTCTGCCACTTGGATTGCTCGAATTGCAGCAATTCGACGCTCAACTATACAGATGAGCACATGGTCACGGAATTGATTCTATTTAGGAATAACGTGACAATTAAATATTAAAATGATGAAATGAATTCATTAGTTCTTGCGTGTTCAAATTTGTCTAACTGGTAAGATTGCAGTGAATAACAAAAAAGCACAGACTATGTAACGACAGAATTGAAATATGATGATAACGAATGAGTGAAATTTATGAAAAAAGTACATAGCTGCTTGGACATAATTCGTAACAAATCAGCATTCAGTTTGCAATCATCGTGTATGAATATGAATGGCACAAGAAACGAAGAAAAGATGAAGTACATTCAATGAAACAAAGCTCCATCTCAAGAATCTTGCTTTTTTCGGCTTAAGACTTGCTTGCCTGCATTATTGTCCATACAGAAAACCAACTCATGAATAAGGGAATTGGCAAGAGTTCCAATTTTAGGATTCAGGCTCAGCAACATGAGTAGCTCTTCTCCATCAAATGCTATTTAGGGTAATTTCCAATTTCTACGGCGTCTACCACTATCCTTTGATATCCTCAATCCATGCTTGAAAACCAACACAACTGATTGGCATTCACTGTCTAATCCATCTTAAATGTTCGCTCTCCTCCTAAGTTGAAGCCAGCTTTAATTTTTCACAGGCACATTGAGATGCTCATTTAAGATACTCTCATATTTATCGGCCATGGGAAGTTATCTAGCCGGTTCGTAAATTTACCTAAAATTCTCTTTCACATGATTACCACTTACCTTCAACGAGATCTAAAGCTATAAGTCTATTTTTCACAAATCCATAAACTAATCATTACCCAAAAATGGAGCGTACCAGAAAAATTCGCTCATTTCAGACAATCTCGGGCTCGCATTACTTGTAGCAAACAAAACCCTAATCTGAAAACTAAAATCCCCTCATTTCAGACAATCTCGGGCTCGCATTACTTGTAGCAAACAAAACCCTAATCTGAAAACTAAAATCCCCAAATAAAAGGGCCCCTTTTCTATCAACTACTTGTAGCAAACAAAACCCTAATCTGAAAACTAAAATCCCCAAATAAAAGGGCCCCTTTTCTATCAACTATCAAGAATCCCCATTGAAGTGTAACTTCGATTCCAATTGAAAGAAAGAAAAATTGATCTCTCGAAGAGTTAGATTAGATACCTTCTTGACTGTTGAAAGCTCGCTGTCGCTCTTTAAATTCCAAGGCCGGGTCCTTCTCTTTCTCTTTCAGAGGACTCTCCGCCGCCGCCGCTGGTTTCAGCGGAGATTCAGTCGTCGTCCTTCTTATCAAAGACGTGTCAAATTCAGTAAAAAGATGAAGTGACTCCCATAAAGAGGGGAAAGATAATAACATTTTCTAATCCCAGACAAACCAGCATATTGGCCAAAATTAATAAATTCTAATACTTCTAGTTTAAGAAAGGTGGCCATCACACAATCATGAGTGATGAAAAGGAGTAAGTTATGATGGTTAACCAATAAGGAGTATTTGAACAATTGAACATAGTGCAAACTTAATCCTCAGAGAAAGGGATAGCATAAACTTAATACGCAGAGAAAGGGGTATACTTTTATAAGATCTAATTTCCCTATGACCTAGATTTGTTGTGTACCAAGTCCTGTTTGAAGTATTTTGCCTTCTCTCCCCTGTTCTAATGAGAATTAGACCTTGCTCCAGCAAGAGAGATGATCTTCACATTTAGCCGAAATTTGGGCAAGCGGGTCGTGGGAGGATTTCTCAATAAAATTAAGAGCAACACAAGAACTAGAAAGATATCACAATAGAACCGAAAACTATCAGGATAAAACTAAAGGGTATCACCAGGATAAATTTCTGCCCAAAGAAAGCAGATTTAAATTAAAAGACACCTAAAAAGACAACCTTTCATTTGATTACCTTCCAGTTTGCTTGAGCATATCAAGCATATTAGTCTGAAACACATGATCAACAGCCTCAGCGCTAACCCCAGTTCCGCTCTGCGGCATCGCAAACACATCCACGACTCTCACCGTGTACTCGTCGACAAACTCTCCAAGCATCAACCCCATGACCTCCATCGGAACCCCAGCTCTCCCTGCAATCAAAACCCTAGATTTCAACTTAGAGCCAAAACCCTAGATCCACACAAATTGAGTATTGTGATTCTACTTACCGTGCTTGAGCATCTTGAGAAGGGCGAGAGATGAGATGTAGACTTGCTCCGATGAGTCGAGGAGAGGCGAGTCCGTCGGCGGGTGGCCCATGCCGCCGGCGCCGGAGAAGATACGGTGTAGTCTCTCCATTGGAGAATTTTTAGGTTTCGTTGATTTGAACGAAGAGGATCGAAATTTTGAAACCCTAATTTTTTTTCCTTCAGCGAAGGATTTTATGGGATTTTTGTTAAAGCTTGAGTGGAAAGAAAAAGGGCAGAGGTTGGATCTTGATCGCAATCTGACGGGTGTTTGTTTCAAATCCGAATTTCACCCAGGGATTTGAAATCCATAAGGGGGTTGTTTAAAAGGGAGGAGATCCGTCAAAATGTCAGCTTTTTTAACAACTTTCTTCCAAAATCGCTTTTTATAAAGGTGGTTTTGGGGGAAAACTTTTAAAACGCTAACATTTTGGTAGTTTTCCCTCTCCTTTCCCCTTCTAAAAACCGGAACCAAACAGCCCCTAGATGTTTTGTTATGGGTTGAGATTTCTAAAATATTATTTGTTTCCTTAAAATTTGGGATTTTGAATACTATAATTTGTAATATTTTGTTTGTTTCTCAAATTGTAGTACTATCAAATACCAAAAATTTATAATATGATGAATATGTTATCTTGGTGAGGTTACCTCCAATAAAAAGACAAAATTTAAATTTGTCAAATCCTCTCCAATTGAGACCTAAGCATACATCATTTATGGGATTTGTCAAAAGCCTCTCCAATTGAGAGGATTTGGTAAAGAAAATTTACTAATGACCTAAATTATGGGACCAACATATGGGACAGGTGAGGTGTCCTCCCTCCTATTGCGTAGTGAGTTAGTCATCATTATGACCAACTCACTATGCAATAGGAGGGGGGACACCTCATATGTCTTCCATGTTTTTCTCATATTTTGGGTCCCGGTAACAAAACTCTTTAGTAAATTCTAAAAATTGGACACTTGTTTGCACTTTTGGGACTTAATACTCTAATTTTTTTTTTAAACAAACACCATATATGAAATCCCAAAATACAAAAAAACTCACTTTTTGATCCTAAAACTTGTAATCCATACCAATTGCCAAAAATTTTGGTGAAACAAACACCTCCTGAGAGTTCCAACCCGAACTCCGATTGAAAATTTGACAGAAGAGCCGTGATAGGCTTCGTTTCGGTACCATTTTGTCTTTGCTGTGTTTTTGTAAAAAAACACTACGATGTTATGTTTTTCCCTTAAAACGTTTTTAAAATACCATGTTAAGTATTTTTGGTCAAAACTAATTTGACACATTACATCATTAGTATAAACATATTATTAATATATTATATATTAATTATAATAAAATATATTATAAATAAAATATTATATGTTATGACTAGTATGTTATTAATAAATTAATATATTATAAATATTTTAATATTATGTAATATATTATGGTCTTTAATATGTTAGAGTTTATAAATAGTAATTTAATAATATATTAATAACTTATGATATAAATAAATATTATTATATTATTAATATATTATTTTTTATTAGCATTTGTTAGCAATAAATTATTTTATTTATTATATAATATATTAATATTTTATATTTTATATTTCATTTTCTATAAATATATTATTATAATATTATTATTACATTGTAATATTATTTTTAAATATGTTACTATTATATAATATTTTATAATTATTAATTTATTATAGTTTATTTATTAAAAGTTAATAATATTATAGCAATTATATTATTGTATAGTATATTATTATATTATTATTTGTTATCAATAATTTATTATTATTTTTTACTAGTTTATTTATATTTTATTGTTATTTATTATTATATAATACATTATTAACATATTAAATACTAGTATTTAATATGTTGTTATATTGTTATATAAGATATTTTATTATTATATTTTTATATTATTTAATAAAATATTACTAATATATTAGATTAACTACAGTATAGTGTACTACAGTATAGTATAGTATAGCATAATAAGCATGTTGATAATAACTCTATATTAATTATATTTAATATATTATATTAGATATTATATTAACACATTCTCAAATTCAAAACCAAAACAGCAAACTTAAAAACACATTTTAGGTGTTTTGAAATAAGTGTTGTGTTTTTTGTTTGAGGATGATTTAGCTCAAAAAACACCATGGTTTCCAAACGCATGGTGTTTTGTTTTTGGCAAAAACACCATGAAAATAAGTAAAACACCATGGTTTCCAAACGCATAGCGTTTTGTTTTTGGCAAAAACGTATGGTGTTTTGTTTTTCACAAATGGGAACAATTTGATTGTGGAGATTTCTTTTGTTAAGAAACAGGCCCAACAGTTATAATAGACATAAGATTTAGTTTAGGGAGATTTTCCGTGATTATTTTGTTAAGAAACAGGCCCAACAGTTATAATAGACATAAGATTTAGTTTAGGGAGATTTTCCGTGATTATTTTGGTATATAAAAGTTTAAAATATTATAATAGACATAAGATTTAGTTTAGGGAGATTTTCCGTGATTATTTTGGTATATAAAAGTTTAAAATATTTTGACCTCATAATATGCAAAAATTGTTGGAATAGGAAAGGAGATATTCAATATTTAAAAAAGTGAAAAAGAAAATATCAGTGGGTGAATTAGTTTGGTATTAACTTTTAGTTTTTTCTTAAGAGGATGAATTCTACCAGAAGGATACATGATTGAGGGGTTTTTTCACTTTCAAAAATATCACTCTCATTGAGCGTGGGAGCTTCTCATAGATAAACGTAAACCAATCCCTTTAAAAGAAAAACCGTAAGTCTCATAGGGAAGAAAGCAAAGTAGCACATTCTCTTACTAACGTTAGTGCTCACAATATTGTTCCCAATTCATGGTTGAATTCTTATTTTGAACTTCTCCTTAGTGAGATTCAGGCTAATGATTTGAATTCTCTTTAAACTTTCATGAGTTTTCCAAAAAAAAAAAAAAAAGAAGAACCTGTAGTCTATTTGACTCTTAAGACCCTTATTCAAAGGCCTTGAGATCCCAAAGGTCATATATTTAAAAACATATTTTTTTTTAAAAGAAAATATCGCTAGGTTTAATTTTTAGCTCATGAAAGAAACAGTCCACTGCAATGATCTGTTAGAGAATAAAAATATAATCATTAGCACTCTCACCACAACTTCAGAGTTTTTGTACGGTACAAGGGACTTTCAACATTCTCCATAAAAAATTCAAAGAGATGCCCGCCCTATAAGTCCCCTTATTATTGGTTTAACATCAAGGGAAATTACAATCAATTGCCATTACAATTATCAATCATCACAATTTGAAACAAATAATATATGACCATAAGGACACAAGTAAAAAATAAATCCTTATAGCACACTAAGACCACCAATCCTCAACCTCAAGGAACTGACTCACACAGGAAAACTCCCTGTGAGTCGAATATGATCCAGAGTCCGACGAAGTCCGTACTTATTAACAGCTTTATTTGCTCTTCTGAAACCCTCGCCATAAGCGGAAGAAGTGTCATTAGCAATTTGATGCATGAAGAACTGGCCGAGCTTTTTCTCGGTGTCGGATGTCGTTGACTTTTTGGAATACGGCGTTGAGGAAGAGGATGAAGATGAAGCATGATACGATGATGTAGGCATAGAAGTTGACCCCGGCATAACCTCAGATTCGAGCCACATATGGGAGAGAACCTGACAGATTCCTTCCTCTACCTCAGGGCTTAGATTTCGATAGCCTAAGTTGCGATTAAAGAGAGAGCAAATTTAATTAGAAAGCTACTTGAAGTGAATTATGGGTAAATTTCACTAGTTCCCTACAAGTTTGGACCATCTGAAACAGCCTCCCTAAACTTTACAAACGTCTAAATCCCCCAGCCTAACTTTCAACATTATTTTCAGTTAACCCGCCGAACTTTGAACATTATTTTTCAAAAAACCACCATGAACTTTTGATAAAGAAAACCAAATTATAGCATCAGAGGGTATGTTGAAAAATTTGAACATTTGGGTGGACATTTGTAAAGTTTTTTCCCTTTGTTTTTGTTTTGTTTTCTTTTGTTTTGTTTTGTTTTTTGTTTTGTTTTATTATTATTTTATGAGGGGGGTAGGTTTTGGGGGGGTTCTAGGGATTATCTCTCTCAAAATGGGCCAAACTTTAGTGGGGTCATTTGAAATTTACCCAATTTGTGATTTCTAGAGAAGTTATTAAAACACAAAAGATACGGACAGCTTAGGAATAGCTACTGAAGATATATGAACATACAACAATAACAAAGGCTTCGTCTCAAACTTTTGGGGTCGGCAAATTCATCCACTCGGTTGTGTTGCGAGTATCTCCTCCACTAAGCTAATCATTATCAAATCCTTCTTAAGGGCTCTTACCAAGTTCTCCTCTAGCCCTCTGTTCTCCATTAAGTATAATCTTATCATTTCTCACCATTGGTGCATTTTAATGGCCTCTGTTACACATGTGAAACATCAAACAAGGTGCTAATGAATATCCAAGGGAGCGGACACAAGACCAATCTCAACTCACACTATGTTGCCTAGGTATTCCTCTCAAGTCGTAACCATACCCAACACTTTTAGACACCCATTGCATATAAGCATACATTTATTCAGACATGTACTGAATTACACAATACATGTTTTTATTTAATTACTTCTCATAACTTCTTGGACATATATCCTACACTGCACATCCACTTTTGAAACTTGTTTGACAAGGTTCGTGTTCATCTCAACACATATTCAGTTAAAAACTATGATTTCAAAGGGTTGTTTGCATTTCTAGCTCAGAACTATGATTTCCGCCCATGCGTTTCAGCATGTTCCTGTACCCTACATTTACAAATTTGCACCGTACTGTAACTGTGTCCATGCAACATATACTTGCAACAAAGTAGCTGATGTTTTTCCAAGATGCTGATGTTTTTCCAAGATGATGTGTTTAAATAATACTACTAGAAGCCATGTGTATTGTCATTCCAAGAAATTGAATTTTGATCTGATCTGAAGCGGAAAAATGTACCTTTAAGTCGTAGCCAACCATGCATCAACTCATGGGCAAGTATAGAGCCAGTTAGCAACCTGACAAGTACAAATGGTTCTGGTCACTTTTTTGATGGAATGAGTATTATCTTGTGTAGCCTACTAAGCAACACTGAAGTACCTTCATGGTCATGCATACATGCATTTTATGCATGTTGAAGTGCATGAATACATGCAAATCAATTTAACCTTGTCATAATTTATTTGAGCATGTGGAACAAAAATCATACACTTACTCAAAGAAAATATGTATAAGCTATGATGTTGAGAGCAGAGTATCTCATGTAAGCATTGAGGGCAGGGTGGTGTGCATATGTTTTCTCCTTCCTAAGTGTCTAAGAAAAATACATTTATGATTCATGAGGATTTATGTTGAAAAAAAATGTACTTGGATGTTAGCGAATCAATTTGAGTTACCATTTCATTTTTCTTATAATATAAGTGCCCTTCGCTCTCACACTAAAAAAGGAAAAAAGAAATCCAATTTAGTTTCCCATTCTCTACTAGTACAAAATAAAAATTTATATTTGCAATCCATACACCACAATATTGTCTATGTTGAATTAATTAAAAAAGAATGGGATATTAGCACAAATGCTACAGTATAAACAATTTGCACAAGCGCCAGATTAAAAGAAAAGGGTATCGTTTCCTGAGTCTTAACATGATCCCTGCGGCTTATCTTGTATCAAATCCTTGTACCATGCAAGTGCCTACTGCTTCTGGCATTATACTCAAGATACAAAGTTGGATGAGATAAAATGTTGACTGGTAACCTAACAGATTAAACTTTTGAATACCATTATTGCTCCCTATAGTTTTAAAGGAAACATGAGGTATTGCCTTTTCTATTTATACTTTTCGTAGAACTATTTTTTATTGTTTGTGGGTTGTTGTGGTTTTTTCTCGCTTTCGTTTCTTTCAAGGGGGAGAAGAAATAGAAACATGAGTCGTTGCGGCTCAGTAAATAATCATCAAATTATATGCATTGAATTTGTTCACTGACCGTAAGTAGGATACAAAAATTATAATCAGAAGTTATTTGCTCAAGTATTTAACAGACATTAATCTATCATGCAACATAATACCAAAATGGAGAAAATGATTAACCTGGGAAGACCATAAAGAACAAGAATAGCTGTCACTTCACATGTTCGAACCAACTTTTGAGGCTGAGTTCTCATATCTAGAACTCGGTTTCTTCCCATCCTGGGCTTTTTAAGTATCTACATTCCAAAAAAACACATGGCATAAAATGCGCATTATAAGAACTTGAAAATAATAATAATAGTAGTAGTAAATAACAATAACAATAACAATAACAATGATAATAATATTATTTTTAATAATGACAAAAGGGTGTGGATAAATGCTCCTACACTGCTAACAGTTTGCTCCTCAGACAAACATAAGCCTCTTGTTTCCGGCATGTGATGGCGTCCCTAAAAAAAAGTTATTGGAATTTCAGAAAGCAGTGGCCTTTCGCAAATATGTTAAAAAAATGTTTTTTTAATGTAGTTCTTACAGATTTCTCTCCTTCCATGGCTTCATTAAGTGCTTGCCTTTCAACCAGAAGCATGTGAATCTGTTGATCTATCCTCATATTCATTCCTTCATAGTAGTCTCTAATAGAATGGTAAAGAGGTTGACATTCACCGGTATCCATTACAGCAGAATCCAAGCATTCTAAGCATAGGCTACGGCCATCTCCCAGGGACATGTATTTTGTAGTTCTTGGCTTCAGCATTATTAGAATCGTTAGTGAGTAAACTAGAAGAAACTGACACAGAATATTATTTTACAATTTTCATGATTATACAACTATATTGAGTGAAATCTATTGCTTGCAGATAAAAAATCATTTTCTACTCAAGACCAGAGTCTAATTGTTCCTAGAGCATGCTATTTCTACTCATTTGGAACAAGCTCAACAAGAACAACATGTCAAAACTATAAATTATTTTCAAAATTTTACAAAGAAAAGAGGAAGCAAAAGGAATGCCCAAATGTAGTGAACTCTAAAGCTGAATTAAACAAGGATGTCCCTGTTGGTTACACAGCTTTAGACAACTCTAAAAATAGTTTTCAGAGTTTATGTATAAGGTAAAAGGATGGCCACCTCCATTTTTTCACAACTGCAGCAGCGTGGTGTATTATCATATTCATGTGAAGGACAATACTTCTGGCCCCAGTAGGGATGAGCTCTGTACTCAATTAAACCAGCTCTATTTATTGGTATCTGTAAAGAAAAAGAGAGAATTAGCACAATGTTTCTCTAAATTCATTTTTGAGTTTTCAGCTACTGATATTATAATGTTGGGGTTAGTTGTGGATAGACCCCCTGGATTCTCAACTCCATTTAGTTTCTTTTTAAAAAAGAGCTTCATAAACGAAAACATATGGGCTTCATAAACTGATAAAGTTGCTACAATTTTGCATAATGATCATTACAGATAACTAATTTAAATGGGAAAACAAATGGAGTATAGAATCTGGGGGATCTATCTGCAACAATAGAAGTATAAAGGATCTATATCCAATTTGGCGATAGTAAGGGGGTCTATCCGCAATTAACCCTATCATATTCTGACTTTCGACAGTTGGAAATAGAATCAGCATTACCATCAGTTGTCCATCATCTAAAAAATATACTCTCATGCATAGAGAATTATTATTATTTTTGTGTATGAATAAACAGACTTAACAAAGTTACACTGAGTTGCATTGGATTAACAGTAAATAAAAGGAATAAGAAGTTCTTACAAATTGATGGCAAACATCGCATTTAGGATGATGCAGCTCCTTATAGCAAGACTTGTGGTATGGATTACTTCCTGACAAAGAGAACTGAAAATGGTACAGGTTTCAAAATTTCTTGAGCATAAACTCATAAAAACAAAGACCAAAATTTAGGTAAAGATATTTGGCACCTCACTCTCACAGATTGGTCGGCTACATGCATAGCATCGAAAACATTGGGGATGCCAAAAGGTCCCCATGCAGCTTAAATAATGCCCGTAGCCAATTTCATGTTTACAACCTCCACAAATTCTGCAGAGAAACAAGTTCTTGGACTCTTATGTTGAGCAACTAATACATTAGACAAAAAAGGAGGTTCAAGAAATAAACCTAGATCCTCTAGGTAAATTCTGTACAGGCCTTTGTGGCCTAAATGAAGGTGTGTTGTTCAAGCTTTCTTGAAGAGCTCTAGCTAGATCCTCATCATCAGTTTGCCCTCTGCAACCTGAAGATATCCAATTTTCCTCAAAATACGTGAAATAAATTTATAACTGGGATTAATAGCAGATAGACCCCTGCATTATTGCCCAATTTCAGATAGGCCACCAATAAGTTTATTGTTGCGGAGAGACCCCCCGAATGAATTTCTTTTTTTACTCTTTTACCTCGGAGAAAGAGAAATTAGTTTTTTTGACAAATACACCTCCTGTGGGTAAAAGAATCAAAATATTCACTTGAAGACCTATCCACACTTGGGCAATAGTACAGGGGTCTATATTCAACAATATAACTACAAAGGACCTATCCGCAATTGGACAATAGTGAAGAGGTCTGTCGCAATTAACCTTATAATTACCTACATTCAGAACAATTAGAAAAGATGGAGACACAATTCATTTGACATGAAGATTGTAAAATTCAAGAAATACCATTTCTTTTCTTTGCTTCCTCAGCAAGAGAAAGTGCAATTGCACGATCTAGCTCCTCATTATCAGCTCTAGTTCGATCATCCTAATAATGAAAAAAAATAAAATTTCTCTGCCATTTCATATGTAGCATCTTAACTAAATTTATACGTAAAAGTACACATATTACCGATCTACTTGGCTGTCGCCAAAACATGTTCTCTTCTCCCATAACCTGTGGTTGTCTTCCGTTAGATGTTCCTCCACATGATCCTCCAAATAATTTCCGCTGGTAGGCACCCTTCATGAGGCCAGATTTTCTATCAGTGTACGGTGAAGTCACATGCCCTGGTTTCATACAGAAGTTAGGTGTCTTATGAGAATACATGCATCAAGAGTAAAATCTTACAGTATATTACTAGGTGATAGCCCTAACTTCCTTCTTTTCCCCATCTTTATCAATTACGATTGAATTTACTTGTTTCTTTAGCAAAATGCTAGGTGTCCTCTTGACAAGAATGGGAATATTTCTCTATGCCTAGTCAATTGTTAATTTGTTATTGGAGATGATCCATAACATGGATATTTAAATGAACTTCTAAAGAAAGGCGTCATGTTCCCCAAGTAGAAACTCTTTTATTTCCTGCTCAGTTGTTCTTACCACCAAACGTTAAACCCTTATAAATGCTATGTTAATCACACTCTTGACTTTTTTGGAAGCTCGATGAGAACAGTGCCTACTTGAATATCAGATATAGCATCTAGCGAGTCATTTTCACTATCGGTATTTCTAAACAAAATTGTTTTTGTGTTGTGTGTGTGTGGGGGGGGGGGTGGGTGGGGAAGGTCTGTGCGCGCCGCGCTGTTGTGGGTGGGGGGAAGAGATGGGTAGCAATACTAATTTTTATGAGGTACAGCTTGAAACCATTTTCTTGGGTACAAGAGAAGATGTTCGGTAGATAAAAGGTGAAATATCCACTTAAGCCACTTTCCAAATGGAACTCTTCTGAAAATTTAAATAGGACAATACCCATTTTCAGGATGTAAGCTTTATGCCTCCTACACTTGAGTTTATACCAATGTAAGAGTTTTTCAGCTATTAGAAGGATTTGTTTTGGCTTGTAAGGTGATAGGAAAAGTTTTGTCATCAGCAATTCAAAGGTTTTGGAGAATAAAACCAAGTAGATCATTCATGTTACAGTATGTTATTTCTTATGCATTATTATATCCTAACAAGCAAGCCCCTCATAAGATTGGGTCATAGTAGCTCGGGGTAGAATCAGACTTATTTACCATAATCACATAATCTAAAGTGAAGATAGGCCTACCTACTAAATGTCAAACAAACAAATGGAAAATCTACGAGAAGCATGAATAATTTACTTACCCACAATAAAAACAACCCAATATAATCATCATATTTAAAAGATAAAATAAAAGAACAATTTTTCACTGTAGACCCGATCTGCGTTTTTATTATCAAAACCGACCAAAAATTTTTTTAATTACCAAAATCGACCCGTTTTATGCCACGTAGGCTTAAGCTCATTTCCTAATTAGTCGGGTTGCCAACCCCGACTGTTTAGGAATTGTTAAACCCCAATTAAATCAGGTTTAAGACTTCTAATTACGGTTTAACAACTCCTAAACAGTCGGGGTTGGCAACCCCGACTAATTAGGAAATGAGCTTAAGCCTACGTGGCATAAAACGGGTCGATTTTGGTAATTAAAAAAAATTTCGGTCGGTTTTGATAATAAAAACGCAGATCGGGTCTACAGTGAAAAATTGTTCTAAAATAAAATCAAAGTGCATGAAGAAGCTTGCATTACCGTAGATGCAGGGCTGGGAGATATGAGTGATGCTGGTTGAAGAAGAAGAAGACATGGGTATTTTGACTTGGAGAACCAATAAAAAAACCCAACTAAATCCCTTATTTGAAAGAGAAAAAATATGGGGAAAAACTGGGGAAATGGAGAGAGAATGGGAGAGGAGAAGTTTGGGGAGAAAGGAATGCCAAATATAATGGAGGAGGAAAGCATCAGCAGCATCAACAGCAACAGCCCAAAACAAAGCATCTTTAAAAGGAGAGAGAATAAGTGTAGAAAGCAGAGGAAGAAGGAATTGAGGAGAGAATATGAGAAGGAGAGAGGAGGAGAGAAAGGGAAGAAAAGATTAGATTCTTTGTTTTTGCAACTTAAAAATGAACAAGTCTAAATATCAGAAAACCATCCTTTCAACTTTGGGTAGTTGTCAAATAACTCCCCTAACTTTGAAAATATCAGAAAGCTCCCATTAAGCTCAGGAGCTGTCCGCGAACTTCTTTTAATTTTGAGATTTTATCAAAAAACCATCCTAAAGGTGACCCATTTTTATGAGAGGGGGTTTTCTGATAAATTATTAAAAACATATTTTCTGATAACCCTTATACTTGAGGGTGATTTTCTAGCATTTTCAAAGTTGAGGGGTTTAATCTGATATTAGTCCAAAGTTTGGGGTTGGGGTGGGTGGTTTTTTTTTTAAAAAAAAATTTTAATGATGGCCAACTCATTATCCAACAGGAAGGGGACACCTCACTTGTTCCTCCTATTGGTCCCATATTTTGGGTCCATACAGCAAAGGAGTTTTTTTTTTTAACGGGGAGGGGGGTTCTGATATTTAGCCAATAAAATAGAGAAGCACCGAAATGTTTGTTAAGCTACTTGGGTTGGATCTGTGGTAGGCTAGTGGGCTGCCTGGCCCAGAATCCCTCCGTTATTTTTCTGCTTCTTTCGTAGTTACTTTTGTTTCTTAAAAAAAAGAAAATTCTTTCTCTTTTTTGGGTTGATTATGCTTAATATCCTATTGATTTTTATCTTTGATACCATGAGGTTTAAATTTTCCCAAAGCTTACGGGAAAGTTTCATTATTTTATCTTTGATTGATACCTTCTGTTACCTCGTCGCTAAAGAATTTTGTTTTGACAGTGAATATTATGTTTATCAGGGGTTATTTGCTATAGTTTAATGTCAACTTAAGCCATTTGTTTTTGAGAAAAAAGTGAAAGAGAATAAATAAACTCATTTAATTCCAATGAATTTAGGATTAAATTACAATAATCATAAAGAAAGGCCTTCAAAGGACTTATTTCCCCTCTCCAGTTTATAGTTTAAAAGTTAAAATTTTGTCATCAGATAATCACATAATATGTTCTTGAACAATGTAATCGACGACGGTGCAACAAAAAAAAAAATTACATCTTAAAGAGCAATGATAACTAAAGAAGAAAATATATCTCCTGAAGATAGGAAAAAAATACTCCTCGGATAAGAACTCCAAATATTACATATCAAAATTACGCATTAAATAACACTATACTGTACACAATCATTGTTAGCAAGATCTTTATTAGTAGAAATAACGTCATTTGCATGAATCACCTTCCGTACATCTTTTTTGATGGGATAACTATTTATTGAAATTTAGGAGATAAATCATGAAGTGCATAACTTTGTAACTATAGAGGAATACATTCACTCTACACTTAGATTTTGTCTAGATCTAGCTCCTAATTAAGGAAGAGAATGAGCCGCACATATTCCACCCTGGATATTAACCATCAAAACAATGGTTTGGTAATGTTGCAAATCTTTATTAGCAGATATCATTTTTATTTGTTCTCCTAATTTAAAAATGCTAATATTTTGTCTCAAGGGAACCGCATATATTCCACCCTGGATTCTCAATCGGACGGCTCGTATTCTTAGCCAAAATCAACTCAAACTCTCATACATTTTATTTCTACGCGTCATCACAATTTAAAAAAAAAGGGAAATTGTGTTAATGTCCCCAAAGCAAAAACTTTATGGTACCGTTTGGCAAAGGGTTAAGTGAGGGATTAAGGAGACTTAACCCCTTCTTAACCTGCCAAACACAACAAATCTATATAAGGGTTAAAGTGAGTTAACACTCCATAATTTGCCAAACATAAAAAATATAGAAGAGTTAAGTTAACCCCTCTAGAGGGGTTAAAACGAGTTAACCCCTCAAAATGAGGGGTTTACTAATACTCCTATTTAGATGGAATAAGAGTTAACCCTTCTAATTATAAAGAAAATAGTCAAAATCATTGTTATTCCCAAACACTAAAACTGATCATAAGGGCTAAAATAAAACTTATTTAATGGGTTAATAATTTAGTCCTTCGGATTATCAAATGGGCTAAGTACATTAATCCTTCTCTTTAACCCCTCTTCATTAACCCTTTTGCCAAACGGGGCCTATGTGTTGCAGCCCCTTTGATTTTTTTTCCATGTGTTTTAGCTCTTAAATTGGAGATTTATGTTCTGCATGTTGTGCGCAGCAAAAATTTCGGCAGCACCTCGGCTGCACAACAAGAGAGTAAGATCACAACGGAATTCCTGTTTTACAAAGGAAACAAGAATCGAAAGCAAAAAGTGAGATATCGGATCTTCCTCTCATCAGTTCTAGGACTGACTTGACGAGGGAACCTACAAGCTATTACAAATCACGGTAAGAACACAAATTTAACGTGGTTCGGCAAATTGCCTACGTCCACTGGGCAAGGAGGGGGAGATCTACTATTAGAGGGAGAGATACAACTAGGGTTTACAATCACTCAATCTAAACCCTCAAACAATCTCTCAAATCCCTCACACAAAGGACATCAGCCAAATACCTAAAGAACAGCCGCCAAAACCCAAAGGACAACAGCCAAACTTTTTTCTGCGTTTTGCCCTCTGCAGCAACGAAACCCTCTTTTACCCAAAAATCGGCTCCTTGCACTGCTCCTAGTATAGCCGTCTGCCTATTTCTCCCTTCTGCCTCAACTTCGCACACCCACAAAAAACCTAGAAACTAATGTGTATTTATAAGCCTCAATCTCGGGTGGGCCTCTTTGTCTGCTGAACTAAAAAAAGTCCACATGGTTTGTGCCCCCCACATGACTCTGTCTCTGCAATCTCTTCACGAGGCACATCGAAACCTCATTAAAACCCGCTGGGCAATAGCCTCCCACGCGGTATTCAAGCTGAATTCGTGTCCCTGTTCACTTGCTTGAGAACGTGATTTTTCATGTAGCCCCCACACACCTTTCATAATTCTATCCATTCACGTGCATTCACAATTCTTCACCTCGGCGAAGTTTTCACAAAACTGAGCCGACACCAACTAAACCAAATGTCTCACTTGTTGCGTCCAGTACAAAGTAAAACGATTCACGACAATGGATTCAATCCACAACAAGTCGAGACCCAAATGAGAATGTGATCACTCTCCAAACGTCGGTATCAACTCATCAAATCGGCTGCATCATAAAGACTGCCTACGTATCCCCTTGCCCAAGGAATCAAGCCGAACGTAGTTCACCTCAATGGCCTCCAAATGCCTCAATCCAATAGAAGAGTTCGCAACCCTTCTCCAACATCACGATCAAATCTACGGCTGATAGCACATATAATGGCCCCAAACTGAAACAATCCAAACATCTCCACCTAAGATGAACCAATGGCCATGTCCAAACTACGCCTATCAGCTGCACTCAAAACAATCAACACGTCATTTGCATCTGAAACCTAATGACCCCAATGCCGTGTCACCTCAGCTGAAGTCCTAAATAATATAGAATGACCTGGAGTATGTAGAGTAATATCCACCCAATGTGGAGTAGCATCACTCACCACCCACTGTGATGTCCTAATGATCTGATACCACTTGTTGTGTGTAGCGGAAATTTCGGCAGCATCTCGGCTGCACAACAAGAGAGTAAGATCATAACGGAATTCCTGTTTTACAAAGAAAACAAGAACCGAAAGTAAAATATCTCAACAAAGTGAGATATCAGCTCTTCCTCTCATCAGTTCTAGGACTGACTTGTCGAGGGAACCTACAAGCTATTACAAATCACGGCAAGAACACAAATTTAACGTGGTTCGGGACTGACTTGTCGAGGGAACCTACAAGCTATTACAAATCACGGCAAGAACACAAATTTAACGTGGTTCGGTAAATTGTCTACGTCCACGAGACAAGGAGGGAGAGATCTACTATTAGAGGGAGAGATACAACTAGGGTTTACAATCACTCAATCTAAACCCTTAAACAATCTCTCAAATCCCTCACACAAAGGACAACAACCAAATACCTAAAGAACAGCCGCCAAAACCCAAAGGACAACAACCAAACTTTCTTCTGCGTTTTGCCCTCTGCAGCAACGAAACCCTTTTTCACCCAAAAGTCGGCTCCTTGCACTGCTCCTAGTATAGTCGCCTGCCTATTTCTCCCTTCAGCCTCAACTTTGCACACCCACAAAAAACCTAGAAACCAATGTGTATTTATAACTCAATCTCGGGTGGGCCTACTTGTCTGCTAAACTAAACAAAGTCCACACGGTTTATGCCCCCACATGACTCTGCCTCTGCAATCTCTTCACGAGGCACTTTGAAACCTCTTCGAAACCCGCTGGGCAATAGCCTCCCACGCGGTATTCAAGCTGAATTTGTGGCCCTGTTCACTTGCTTGAGAACGTGATTTTTCACGTGGCCCCCACACACCTTTCACAATTCTATCCATTCACGTGCGTTCACACTGCAATCCTTCTTTAGCAATTATTACCTGCCAACTAAGCATAGAGTGAGTAAAAAATAAAAAACCTCAAAATGTCATTATCTCCTCTATTCTTTCATGTTAAGTCTAAAAGCAAGTTGAATTAGGCTTAACATGAAAGTCTAATTTCATGTTTAGTTCAATTTAATTCATATTAACTCTAATTTAATTCCTTTTAAGTCTAATTTAAATCATGTTATGTCTAATTCAACTTGTTTTAAGTCTAATTTAATTCATGTTAAGTCTAATTCAACTTGTTTTAAGTCTAATTTCATGTTAAGTTCAATTTAATTCATGTCAAGTCTAATTTAATTCGTTTTAAATCTAATTTAAATCATATTATGTCTAATTCAACTTGTTTTATGTCTAATTCAACTAAATATGAAATTAGACTTTAAAAAGTTGAATTAGACTTTAAATTATACTTAAAAGGAATTTAACATGATTAAAATTAGACTTAAAATAAGTTGAAATAGACTTAACGTGATTCATGTTAAGTTTAATTCAACTTGTTTTTAGACTTAAAATGAGTTAAATTAGACGTAACATGATATAAATTAGATTTAAAAAGGAATTAAATTTGACTTAACATGAACCGAATTAGACTTAATATGAATTAAATTAGACTTAACATGAATCAAATTAGACTTAATATGAAATTAGACTTAAAACAAGTTGAATTAGACTAACGTGATTCGTGTTAAGTCTAATTCAACTTGTTTTTAGACTTTAAACAAGTTGGATTAGACATAATATTGTTTAAATTAGATTAAAAAAATAAATTAGACTTAACATGAACTAAATTGGATTTAACATGAAATTAGACCTAAACAAGTTGAATTAGACTTAGCATGATTTAAAATGGACTTAATATAAACTGAATTGGACTTAACATGAGCCGAATTAGACTTAACATATAATCCATGTTAAGTCTATTTCATTTAGTTTAAGTCTAATTTCATGTTAAGTCCAATTTAAATTAGACTTAAAACGATTTAAATTAGACTTAAAATGATTTAAAATGGACTTAATATAAACCAAATTGGTCTTAACATGAGCCGAATTGGACTTAACATATAATCCATGTCAAGTCTATTTTATTTTATTTTAAGTCTAATTTCATGTTAAGTCTAATTTAAATTAGAGTTAAAATGATTTAAATTAGACTTAACAAGATTTAAATTAGACTTAAAATGATTTAAACTGGACTTAACACGAACAAAACTGGACTTAACACGAACCAAACTGGATTTAACACGAATCAAACCGGATTTAACATGAACTAATCTGGACTTAATACTAAACCAAATTAAAATTAGGCTTAAAAGGAATTAAATTAGATTTAATATGAATCAAATTAGTCTTAACATGAAGTAAAATTGGACTTAACATGAAATTAGACTTAAAATAAGTTGAAATAGACTTAACATGATTTATGTTAAGTCTAATTCAACTTATTTTTAGACTTAAAATAAGTTGAATTAGATATAATATGATTTGAATTAGACTTAAAAGGAATTAAATTAGACTTTGCATGAATCAAACTGGATTTAATATGAATCAAATTGGACTTAACATAAAATTAGACTTAAAACATGTTAAATTAGACTTAACATGATTCATATTAACTGTAATTCAACTTATTTTTAGACCTAAAACAAGTTGACCTAGACTTAAACTTGATTTAAATTAGAGTTAAAAAGAATTAAATTAGGCTTAATATGAATCAAACTGGACCTAACATGATAGATCTAGAGAGAACGAAGAGGGGGGAGGCAATGAGGGTATTTTGGGTTTTTATGTTTGTTTTTATCTCTTTATGCTTAGTTGGCATGGTAATTACATGAAAAGGGCTGCAGCACATGATGTGATATTTTTTAGGGCTGCAGCACATGATGTGAAGGGGCTGCAACACATAAATGTTTTAATTTTGGGGTCTTGACATAAATTTCCGAAAAATGAAAAAGAAAAAGAAAAATTCAAATCATATAAAAGTCAAAAAAGGGCAGAAAAGAATCATATCGTCTCCTCCGCCCCATTGGAGTTGCAGTCCTCACTGCCGCCCTATCTCTCGCCGCCCCCCCCCACCCACACACACACACACAAATTTTTTACAGAAAGAAATTAGGGTTAGGGGGAAAAATTTTGGGGTTTGGAGGCAAAATTAGGGTTTGGGGTTTCCGATGGAGGCGGCGTTGCTCGACGATATCATCAAGAGGCTGCTGATCGGCGAGGCCAGGGAAGCAGGTCCAGCTATCGGAGGTGGAGATCAGGCAGCTGTGCGTCGCTTCGAGAGAGATCTTTCTTCAGCAGCCCAATCTCTTGGAGCTCGAAGCTCCCATCAAGATCTGCGGTCAGTTTCTTAACAGCTCTCATTTTGTTCGTTACATTGATTGGATGGAGAAATTGCGATCAAAAGCATTATTTTCGTTTTTTTGCGATGAATATTGTAGTTGTTCGATCGACTAGTTGTAGTAGGATGTTTGTTGGTTTGTCGTCCATGGACTTACTTGAAATTTATGGTGGGAAAAGAGTAACTTTTGTGATCCATAGAGTCCCAGTTATATGAGGAGTTTGATGTGGGTTTATAAGGGTTTGGGTTCCTTCCTTTTAACAGCTGTCTTTTGGAGGTGAGTGCTTCTAGGACCCTTACAAATGATATTGGAGCCAGCTCCACCTTCCTGGTTGCAATTGAGAGGCGTGGGTCGTGATGCCGGTATTGCTGTGTTCACCTGAGACTAGTTTATGCAAAGCCAAAAGGGTGATGGTGGGATTTGTGGTGATTGACTGAGAGTAGAGTAGTGCACGGCGAGCCACGTGGGCATCAGGACTGCGAACGCGTGATCGTATGTGAGGATCCATTTAGTCCCATGTTGACTACGTGGGAAATTTGATGTGTGTTTATAATGGATTTGGGTTACCTGTTCCAACAACTACCTTTTAGGGGTGAGTTTTCCCTTGAAAACTGTTAGAGGGAGGATATCCAAATATTGGCTCCCCATTAGTATGGGACCAAACATACCTAACACAAGCTTTCTTTGCACTACTCTAGTCCCTGTTGGATTCAATCCTGGTATCACCCTTTTGGTTTTGTAAGGTGTGAGTTCTCCTTTGGAAACTAGCTGTCAGAGGGAGGGAAACCAAATCTCGACTCCCCACTAGTATGGGACCTAATGGACCCTAACACGGACTTTCTTTGTACTGATCTAGTCCTTGGCGGACTAAATCATGGTATAACCCCTTTGATTTTGTACTAGACTAGTTCTGGTCAAACTACAGTGTTGGCATTGCCCCTTTGGTTTTGCACAGGACTTGTCCTGATCGAACTGCAATGTTGAAATCATCACTATGGTATTGCACTAAACTAGTCCCGCTCGAACTGCAACCTTGGAATCACCCATTTGGTTTTGCACTAGACTAGTCCTGGTCAAATTTCAATCCTGACATCACCCCTTGGTTTTAAACTAGACTAGTCCGGGTAGAACTGAAGCCTGGCATCACCCTGCTTTGGTTTTGTATAAACTAGAGCCGAGCAAACACTACAAAATTGGTATCAGCAGATTCAGCACCCGTGCCATTCACTGTAACTGGGAAGGTGAGATTGACTCTGACAAGCTAGGTGTTAGTGGGATGTAATTTAGCTCTCGTATATACCCATATTGACTCTTGTTCAGTCAATACCGGATTAAATGGACCTTAACGTTTTACAGCATGAAACAACGAGATGCGACTAAATTAGGGCAATTATGTAATTTGACATATTAGTAAGATTCTCTTCTTTTATTGGATAGTTCGTACATTTACTAGCCAACTTATTATTATCATTTAAAATAAGAAAACCTTTGACATGAAAGATTATAAACTTGAGGATGCTGTGAAATGTGGATTGACCTTTAGCAAATGTGTCTATGCAATTAACTTATTGTTGACTGCATCCAAGCCATATCGTATTTCATCCATGAGAATGTAGGGATACATACTTATTGGATAGGATCTGATATGCCAACTATTTTACAACATAATCACCATGATTTTAAAATTTTAAGCCCTTCTGCTGCAACAAGTTGGTTAGTTAATTGTTTTTTCTGTTATAGAAATGATGATTACTAAGTATTATATGCTTGCCAGTTTGTCAGGTTTATACTGGGAGCATTCTATCGACTGGGTAATGTGTGAGAACTAGGACACTGTCATATGTTCTATAAAGTAGGTCATGGAGAATAGGCTCAGTTGAGCTTCCTAATACTTCTCACTTTGTACTCTGGTCATTGGTTTCAATGGTCGCAATAAAGACTGGTTCTCGGTAGTATGTTAATATTTAGGGTTGATCTGAGTTAATAGGACTGTTCTTTTAGGCTTGGTTTGGTAGGGGGTAAGGGGGAGGTGAGGTGGGGCGAGGTGCAATGATGTGCAAGGAAGGATATACCTTTGTGCTTCTTATTTGGTTTTTTAGTTTTTTTTTTTTTTTTTTGGGGGGGGGGGGGGGGGGGAGAGGAGGCACATTTCTTTTTTTGTTTGGTTGAAGGGATGTGAAGGGCCAGTGTATTGATGAGTTAATTAAAGTACAATAGTATCCTTTTATAGAAATTTTTTTTATTTAAAGAAAAGGACAATTTGGTAATTATGATAAATTGGTGAGAGTATATGAGTCATTATAGAAAGCATCCCCTCTCTTCTCATGTATCCCTCCAAATCGGAGGGATGTTTCTCCCTCTACACTTACCATTTATTTTGCACTTTCTCTTAGTACATGCCAACTCATCTCACCCTCCAAACCCCCCCTGCCAAACATGATTCTTGTTTGTCCCTCACCTCACCCCACCTCCCCTTCTACTAAATCAAGTCTTAGATTCAGAATTTGCACTGTACTGGCAGTGCTTATGGACTATCCTACTCGACCTTTTGAAATTATGACACTTAGGCTGACATTTTGGATTCACTACCAAGAATTAGCGGCCAAGTTCTTACATTTCTTGTGCTTTAGCTTTAATCCTTACTATTCCTTATGTCTGTAATTCCTTATCTTTTAATTTCCTTCAGTAGAGCGTTGCTAAGCCTTTTCCTTCAGTAGGGTGTTGCTAAGCCTTTCTCTGAATTTGTCCTGAAGATATCATGGAATCACATGTGCCTGTAGGTTTTGTGATAAATAAAAATCTTTTAGCCATTTTGAACCATATTGATATATAGTCTGATGCTAGTTATAGTTATATAATTCACTAGATCTGAGCTTGAGCTATGCGTGCACAAATCCTTTTGGGAGAGATACATATGCTTAATAAATAATGATCTGCTACAAAATATTCGTTGAACATGCTGTAAAAAGTTCGGAAAAGCCTTGTTTAAGGCTCCACTTCGCTATACCGCTTTTGGGATGTTTTAGCACCCATTCCAAAATTTGAAAGATTTTACATTGTTTGTGACATATTTTTTCCTTGATATTTACTGTTCTCATTAGGTTTAGCATCGCTTATTTTTTTGCTAAAGCTTGCAAAAACCTGGTAAAGCTTTACTCCTGCTTTTTCTTTCCACAACATTGATGTTCAGTAAGATCCAGGCATTATGTTTTTAACCTTTACACAATGTGATGATTGTCTTTAGAAATATAAGGTAGTTGCATATGGAATGCAGGGAGAATTTAACAAAAATGTTTTTTTCCTTTTTAAAAACTTCCTGATCAAGCATAATCATTTCTTTTTATATTCCTCTGCTGGAGAACTTATGGAAGATAATCTTCACTGTTTGTTAGTTATAAAAATGGGCACATAACATGGAAAACAATTTTTTGTTCATGTAATCTAGATGATTGAAGGGCACTGATACAATTTCCCCATTCTTACTTGATCAATAGACCTGCCCCCATTTCCCTGGATAATACCAGATGCACCTTTGTTCTTTTTCTTTTCGATCATGTGCTTGTTCCAACTAGCAATTAGTTTTCCTCTTTGCTTAATTTTATTTAGTATTGGTTTTCTTACGCTCTTTCCTTCACATTTAATTCTTTATTTAAACATCTTTTTATATTATAAAAAAAATAAGAATCATCATCTAATTCAAATCCTAGTCCTATAGGTCTCAATTAAACTCATGTTGCATGCCCTTGCTTCGGCATTATGGTGGCAAGAAAAATCAGTTGCTTGTTAGCAGATCTTCAAAACTTGCTTGCTTCCACTGAGTTTCATGTAATTATTGTCCTTTTCAAGGTCTATTATTGATTTTTGTGGCGTTACTTAATCAGTCAAATAACTGTATCTAGTGTTTGACCGAGTTGCATGAAAACGGGTATGGGTAGCGGTACGGGTGCGGGTACGAGACATGACACATTTGTAAAGGGGATTGAGATCCTCTACTAAGGCATAGTGCCTCCTAATATCTCCTAATGCATCTCCACCTTTTATTGCATAGTACCTCCTCATATTTTGTGCTTATGCACAAAATGAAATGTGAAGATGCATTAGGAGATATTACGAGGCACTATGTCTTAGTAGAGGATCTTAATCCTTGTAAAGGTATTGTAAAGGTATGGAGACACAACTACGTATATATTGAAATTAATTTTTACATGATGAGATCATTATTATTTTTCAATTTAAGTTTTCTTTATTATGTTGACACAACTACGTCTGGAGACACATTTTAAGTTTCTTTTATCATGTTGATTATTATGAAATAGAAACTACTCATTTTTGAGCTAGACACTTAAATGATCCTTTTAAATCATAGTTTTGAACTCGGGTAAGGGCTAAAACAAACCTGACCCTTGTCTGACGAGTTTCAAGAAATGGATATGAAGTGTAGCATATACATCCAAGAAGCGTATGACAAGTGTTTTAAATTAAAGGTTTTTTAAAATATATACCCTCCAAATTGTCTATATTTTTAAATTTGCCCTCCAAATTATTATAATTTCAATTTTGCCCCCCAAATTGTTTACCTTCCCTACTTTTACCCTCCAAGTTAATTAATGGAGAATCTAATTGGAATATTCTGTTAAAAGACCTAGAGCTTTTTAAAATTGTCTAATTTGCCCTTTAATATATAATTTAAAGATTGAATAAAAAATTGCAAGTGGGAATCCTTTGTTTGCAATGAGTTGGCGTGTGAATCTTTTGTTTCCTTGTAATATTTGGATCTATGATTGAAGTTTATATACGTCAACGTGGTTTAGTCTGAAATTTATAAAAGGACAAGATCTTTTATGGCAAACAATGGGTTAGAATTTCCATTGCCATTATTTAGCCTCTTCAGGTTCAGGTGCGAACTTTTTAAACCGCAACGGTTCGGGTGAGACTGCATCATTTCAAGGGAGATGGCTCCGGTTCTGGTGGGACGGTGTGAGTTTGGCGCGACACGGTTGTTGTTGGCAACAATCTATCTAAGTGTGGTCATGGAGTTTCGGTTGAGTTTCATCGTTGGTTCTTGAGATTTCTCATCACGATGAAGTGGTGTTTGCCGATATCAGACATTGCTGGATTCTCGACACTATATTTTTTGAAAGTGAGGCCTCGGTAACATACTATGGTAATGTTAGGAGAATCAGAAAGAAAGCCAAATAGGTATATCAAAGTAAATTTACCCATGAAGTATTTAGATTTTGACAAAACTTAATGTTGGGGTAAGTTTGAAGAAAGATTACAATTTGAGGGCAAATTCAGAATTATGATGATTTGAGGGGCAAATTTAAAAATACCAAAGATTTGAGGGGTATATATATATATATATATATATATATATATATATATATATATATATATATATATATATATATATGACCCTAAATTAAAACATATATCATTTAATTGACTTCATGTTAAATAAATGTATGTATATATCCAAGAAGTATCCATGGGATTTCGTATGGGTATGTGTCGGGCGGCTTCATGATATAAGTACCCAAGTAACATGACGACTGCTAGGCCATATGAAGAAATAATATATTAAGTGTGTTACGGGGATGATTTTTATTATTTTAAGTGACATTTGATTGTTTACTATATAAATTATTTTATTTTTGATTTTTCTGGGAGAAATTTATCCCAATTTCTGTCAAGAGATTACATGACAATTCTTTTAGCATGGTGTTGTTTTTTCTTTTTGGGTCAATTGCGCCTTTTCTTCTCATTTTTCTTTGTGGCTTTTCAGGTGATATTCATGGCCAATACAGTGACCTTTTGAGACTATTTGAGTATGGAGGCTTCCCACCTGAAGCAAATTATTTATTTTTAGGCGATTATGTTGATCGGGGTAAACAAAGCTTAGAGACGATATGCCTGCTTCTTGCATATAAAATCAAATACCCTGAAAACTTTTTCATTCTCCGAGGAAACCATGAATGTGCTTCTATAAATCGGATTTATGGGTTTTATGATGAATGTAAACGCCGGTTTAATGTGAGACTATGGAAGGTCTTTACAGACTGCTTCAACTGTCTTCCTGTAGCTGCTCTTATAGATGATAAAATCCTTTGCATGCATGGTGGGCTGTCCCCAGATCTGTCAAACTTGGACCAAATCAAAAGTTTATCTCGTCCAACTGATGTTCCGGACACTGGTTTACTCTGTGACTTACTCTGGTCAGATCCTGGTAGAGAGGTTCAAGGTTGGGGAATGAATGATAGAGGAGTTTCATACACTTTTGGTAGTGATAAAGTCCAAGAATTCTTGTCAAAGCATGACCTCGATCTTGTTTGCCGTGCACATCAGGTTACAGACTCTGGAACCTCAAATGTTTAGTCTTTTTGAGTGTGATTTATGGCTTTTTTGTCAAGTTTTTTCTTCAATACAGGTTGTGGAAGATGGCTATGAATTTTTTGCAGATAGACAACTTGTCACTATATTCTCAGCCCCAAATTACTGCGGTGAATTTGATAATGCTGGTGCTATGATGAGTGTCGATGAAACCTTAATGTGCTCTTTTCAGATCCTCAAGCCTGCAGAGAAGAAACCAAAGTTTATGATGTGAACCAAAATCTGATAGTTGCGGATGCTGGTTCACTTGTATTACTGGTATGTTTATTGAATTTTTCATGCTTGTGGTTTTCAATTATTTCTTGTTTTATTTACAGATTCTGGACATAGTGCTTAAGCATTTATTTTACCTGGTAGCTTTTAGAAAGTGTTCATAGCAATTGCCATAAATGGGATCTGCAGTATAAGTTGCACCTTTCTTTTTCCACCTCTTCATCTCCCTTTTTATTTGAAGAAATTATACTTCACATAACTAAACAATAAGGAATTTTTTTTTTGAGAAAACATGTTACCATTATTTGTAGCATTTTTCTCACTCTTTTTTCTTGAGTAGAAGAGCAACATCCAAGCATTGGCACATTTCTTCAGATTTTAGTTTTCAATCTTGTAGAACTCTTGAACCTAGGTTTTTATCCTAGTTATCTCAATCTGGTTTAAAGCAATCAAGATCTTGTCAAATTACCATGCATCTGAACTTTATCATATTAAGTAGTGCTACATTTACTATCATTCTGGTATTCTACTAAATGGTTGGCTGAAGATATTGATAGGAAAGGTTGTATTTCACAAATGTCTGATTTCAATAGGCACTCTCTAATGATTTATCAAACATTACTCATCAAAGCCTCACTATTTTATCGAGACCTAGCGTTTGAATACTTAAATTAGTACCTTTATCTGACAAATAGAAGACTCCATAAAGTGCAATCTTAATCTTTACTTTGTTTTACAAATTTAGCAGGCGAAGTATATCCTAATAGCTTATAGGTTACTTTTTTCCAGCCCATTTTCTGGACTATCGAGTTTTGACAAACTGTTTGATTCCTTCATGTCTGTTATCATAGATGTTGGGTGGCGAACAACAGTCCCATTATTAGTCCTCAGTAGTCATATTTACCTTCCTCAGCTCAACCATACCATCCCTGTGAGAACACATAAATCACGTAGACTTGATTTTAGCCCTTTCCAGCAGGTGGTTCCTCCCCTCTGCTGAAAGCTACTTGGTTGCATGCAGTATCAAGAACTTCTCTCTGATAGGGATTCCTTTTCCCATCCACATGAAGTAACTGGGTTTGCCCTTTATCTGCAACTGAAGCAGCTGCATGCTTTGAATCCTATTGTTTCTATATATCCTCTGCGCCACGGCAGGATGTCAATCTACATTTTCCAGCACCTAATGTAGTTTGATTGCCTGATTGAAAACAATTTCCAATTACTCTTTTCAATACTTTGCTATCTTAATACGCTTGACTCAGTTTATCTCCCAATATCAGGATTTTACCTCATTATTAGCTGATAGTAATTTTTGGGCTGATTGCGGACAGACCCCCCAGTAGTATCATTGTTTTGAACTTACTACCTCTTTGGTTTTATTTTGCAAATGGGCCATGACTTCTGACTTCTGAGTGAATTTTTTGACTCTTTTATCCGCACAGGGTCTATTCAATTAAAAAAAAGACTTCCTCTGAAACGAGTAAAAATATTTCACTCAGGAAGTCTATCTGCAAAAATATAAAACTATAGGGTTAATAACTTAATAAGTTCAAAACAGTAATATTACTGGGGTCTATCCACATTTAACCCTAAATTTCTCTAAGATATTCAGGACATATTTTCCTACTAGAATATGGTGTATCCATGTCTTGTCACGTGTATTCATGTTCTCTACACTTGGTTGAACACTTAAAACTTACAACAAAACTTTTATCAACTACATGCAGATTAAGCATCTATATTCTTTCACCGAGAGATCCCTGTCATATGTTCTACTTTGATATTGATTTCTCATTCAGACATGCTTAAGCAGGATCAGAATCCTTCCTAAAAGGCTTCTACTTGAAGATGTGGGCTTTTTTTATTTTTTATCGATAGGTCCAATTGTATTGTATAGAATCATATCTTTAATCTGCTGATGTTAATATAATCTAGGTGAGGTTTCAGTCAGAACATATCTTTTAGCCATTTGCACCTTTTATCAGAACTTTAAATTCGTCAAAGGCCTACCTTGTGCAGAAAATTATTGGTGAAACCTGCATGCTTGCTTCTTATTATTGATAAGCATGTGCATCCATTTGATGATATAGATTTGGGAGTTAAGTCTAGGATTGGAGTACTTGTGCCTTGGACCTTTTGTTAGAGGCATGCAACTTTTGCATTGAATCCAGTGTATTTCAGTCTCGGAGACCTGTCAAATTCATCGCCTTCAATTTTTTTCTCAAATCGAATTTTTTAGTTTTACTTTAATATCTCATTCTTGTAACAATGCAAATATACTATGTTTCTTCAGCATGTCTCTCTTTGAGTTTCAACCTCCTATCTGACGTGATACCCTTGAGCTTATGGAGATATTCTCAAAGATAATGACGATGCCGAGTCAAGGTCTAAAGAGAGGGGAATTATAAAGGAAGTCCTGAGAAAATGAAAGTGGATCATTCAGCTGGTGATTTTCTAGATGCATTGCTAGCTCGTCAATGGCGAAGCCAGTTTTTTTTTTTGTTGCGTTAAATTTATTTTCCACAGGTGTGAAGGATATAGAACCAACTTATTGGCCTCGATGTTTATGTTCCTTCTCTTCTTCCTCTTCTCGTTTTGCATTGCCTTTAGGACTTGTAACATGGACGAGACATTTGTGGAACTTCTATTTCTTGGACAGTTCGACTCCCATGACCGGAACATTAGTTCAGCAAATGATGGGGAGCAAGGTTTGATTTTTATTACATCTGTAGTGGTGGCAGTGGGGCTTGTTTTTTTTTTTTTTGTTTTTTTTATGTTTAAAAAGCAGTTTTTGCTAAGGATTTGAGGAGAGCTTTGATTCCTGTGGTTTGCATCAATATTTCTCATGTTTTTGCTAAGGATTTGAGGAGAGCTTTGAGCAGAGGGTCTCCTACGTTTCTCTTACGCCTCGTTTGGTACGCGGGAATGGATAGACTTGGGAATGGAATGGAAGAAGGAATGGAATGGATTGCATGTCATTCATGGATGGATTTTCTGGGTACAATCAAATCAAGATGCACCCGGATGATGAAAAGCACACAGGATTCAGAACACCCCTGGGTGTCTTCTGTTATACTGTTATGCCTTTCGGTTTGAAGAATGCCGGTGCTACATATCAACGAGCAATGACGAAGATCTTTCAAGAGCACCTCCGGAAGACCGTCGAATGCTACGTTGATGACCTGGTCGTTAAGAGTCGTGATAAAAACGACCACATTAACGATCTGAAGACAATGTTCGAGCTTATGAGAACTCATCAGCTGAAAATGAATCCGACTAAATCCTTCCTTGGAATGTCGAGCGGTAAATTTCTTGGATTCGTCGTCACCACAAAAGGTAAAAGAATGATATCCACAATCCACAGTTCTAGATATATAAATTAACTTATTTGATAAAGTATCAAAATCACTCAATTCATAATAGCAAAAATCCATAAAACAATACCAACTAAAATAATAAGTTTCGAAATAGCAAAATGATATACTAGCCTAAATTGTCAATCTAAAATTGCCCACTTGCATAGCGCCTCACCCAAACATTCTTTATTATTAATATGGATATAATTGAAAAATACCTAACTAGTTTTTGATTCTCACTTGAATGGGAATGACCATTCCTTATCTTCTCACTTGGAATGCTCATTCCCACAAATAGTGGGAATGATCATTCCTAGGGAATGGTCATTCCAACATCTAAAATATATGTGTGTTTGGTATGAGGGAATGGGAAGTGGGAATTGCATTCCATTCCTTCTCATTCCCGCGTACCAAACGAGGCGTTATGTTATAGTCTACTAAAAGTATTTGCATTTAACCCCGATCTTATTGGTAGTTTTATTTTATTTTATTATTATTTTTGTTTTGCAATAAACCGTTCTATTGTTAGTACGTGTTTTATGAAATTTTTGGTCCGTACTTCTCTCGTCTCCCTCAACATTGCCATTGTCACTGCTGCCCCCAAATTCAAGGTAAACTCGCTCAAGTCCTCTTTAATGTGATGTTTCTACTACTTATCATATCATATCATACTCTCTTTAAAAGCGGAAAATCTTTTTATAGTCAATATTACCCTTCACTATTTTAAATATTTTATTTATATCCTAATCATAATTATATCTTATCTTAATCCTATGTATAGCTTAACAATTTAAAAAATTATATTAATAAAATATATAAAACATATTTTTATGGTATTAGTTTGTCAAAATAAAAAAATTATACGTAATCATAATGAGTGCTGCTACGGGGACCCAAAATATGGGACCAAGGGAGGGGACAGGTGATGTGTCCCCTTCCTATTGCATAATGAGTTGGTCATGCCAACTCATTATGCAATAGGGAAGGGACACCTCACATGTCCCCTCCCTTGGTCCCATATTTTGGGTCCTTAAGTTATTTTCCAATCATAATTATATCCTATCCTAATCCTACGTGAACTATCTATAGCTTAACAGTTTAAAAAATTATATTAATAAAATATTGAAAACATCATTTTATGATATTAGTTTATAAAGATAAAGAAATTATACGTAGCTAACGTACTATAATACATAAAGTATTACAAAAAAAATCTAAAACTTTTAAAATTACACCAAATACTCTAAAAAGTTTAAAATTATAAAAACTATCCCGACGTCTAAAAACATAAAATAACAAAAATAAAATTAAGAAATTAACAGTGAAGAATTTAAAATTTGCGAATAACATCTTATTATCTCAAAAACTATAGAAGCACCATAAAAAGTTTAAATTACAAAAAAGCACCTGTAATTCTAAAATTTTAAGACTTACAAACAACATAGATGAATTCAAGGGATTACTTTAATGCATCTCAAAATTTCTGATATTTCAAAGCTTAAAATAATAAACATAAAATTAAAAAATTAACAGCAGCTTCTGAAGAATTTAAAAAATTTCAATTAACACCCTTAATATCCTAAAAATTATAGAAACTCCCTTAAAAGTTTAAATTATAAAAAAATAACCCTAAAATTATAAAATTTTTAAAATTTACAAACAACAAAAAATAAATTCAAGAGATTATCCTCATGCACCTAAAAATTTAAAATTTACCGAAATTAACCTTAAAGTTACAAAAGTTGTAAAAAAACTCTTTTAAAATTTAAAATTATAAGAAAAACTCTAAAATTTTAAAATTTATAACCAGTACACATCAAATCTGAAAATTATTAATAGACCGCTAAAATTTGAATTTTTTAAAACTTAATCTATAGTTTTAACAATTGCAAAAAACAACCTCAAAATTTTAGAGTTATAAGAAATATCGTGACATTTAAAAATTACCACCGACACATGAAATATAGAAGTTACAACTATCAAACTTAAAAGTAATTTTTTAAAAATACTCCCAAAGTTTTAAAAAATACAAATCACACCTTCAAAGTTCCAAACCACAAAAAATGGCTGAAATTTTAAAACTTGGCAAAAAAGTGTAATTATTAGATATTTTTTCATTAATATATATATATATATATATATATATATATAATTTTTAATTTGGGGTTTACTATCCCTTTTCAGCATCTAAAGACAGTCTAAGTTGATACTCGTAAACAAAAGAAATAGAATTGATTAAAAATATTCGGTTAAGAAATAAAAATTTTAAAAATATTATAACTTAAAAATTATTGTCACAATATAAATTAAAGCAACTGCATAGAATTTTACTAATAAGTTGGAGCAGAAAAACACATTAGTAATATTAATTGATAGATGTTTAAATCCATAAAAATGATAAAAAACTATAATATAATAGCTTAGCATTAAAAAAATACAATGAGTTACCTATGAAGAAACTATGAGAATGTTAAGAGATATCATTCAAAAGAATCAAACTATTTTCATTGAAAATGGGAAAGTGACGCAAATAAATCTAAAAATTGGAAAACGTCCATGAATCATTTGAATTGTCATTAACATAAGGCATGCCTATTAAAGAAGCATCAACTGAGTTACATTGAAGAATAATTTAATAAAACTTTATCCCAATCAAAGAAGAATTCTCTATAGAAGATGTAAGAAAAATTAGTAAACATTCATAAATTTCATACTTTGTTCTTAAAATACTAAAAAAATTAAATATTAATATTATAATCTAAGATAAATTAGTAATAAAAAATATAGGTATTTAGTTTAGATCTTTGTGAAAAATAACATGAATAGAGCAAATGTAATATCATTAACGTAACAGAAACTCTTGTTAGATGCACATCAGAAGAATTTATTGTAGAAAAAAAAGGTAGCTCTTAATTTCATTTAAGTAATAAATTAGGAATAAAAAGAATTTCATATATATGAAATTAATATTTATTCTCATTGAAATAAAAAAAAATCAAAGTCTGTATTTCAAGAAGTTTGTGTTGAATATCAGAAATACATTTAACTTTTTTGTGAAGTTAAACAATAAGATAAAAGATTAACGAGCCCAAGAAGGATAACAGCACAAAAAGTACAACTCTAGCCCGATGTCACAATCAAGTAGATGATGAAGATACTACTATAAAATTGCCCGGGAAAAAGATAAAGGTGAGGAAGGATTGATATTAGCTCAGTAAAAAAAACCGAAGGAGTAAAAGATAATATTTTGTGAATATTTTATAGAATAATTTAATTATTTTGTGTGAATTTAGAAATCTTTAGAATGGAGCTTTTTCAGTAGATTTATATGCTTGTGCAAATGCATTTTTCATATGAAAGTATACTAGAATTAGCATTAATCTTTAATTTATATTTTTTTATGAAGGCTATCAATGATTAGGAACAAAATTTATATTCTCTTTTGTATATTTTAGCATATTTTTAAGCAATTATTTTGCCTTATTGGTTTTAAATATTCACCTTCTTTACATAACACGGTTTCAATATTTTTTAGTTTTGCAACATTGTACCTTCTCAAGTAAAGATTGGTTTCATGTCAATCAAAATAATATGAAAATTTAAATTAGCTTCAAATTATATTTGATTTTTATCAATTTTAATATTAACATAAAAGTTTAAATTGGGTGTAGCCTATTTAAACAAACATTAAAGAAAATAACTAATCGTAATATTAAAGTTTAGAGACAAAGTGAGCATAAACAATTAAAGTGAATTTGAGGAACAAATTTTAGTTATAAAATAAGCTAAAAATACTTAAATATGATATTTAACCACGTGCATTGCACGTGTATAAAACTAGTTTAACTTAAAAGCAGAACGTTAAAATCCCTGTGGCGAATAGTACTCCTGGTGCGATTTTAAATCTTAGATACTTGGTATTTAACAACTTATTGTTACAACAAAATCGGAAAAACTATGAAAGTGTCAAAAATATCCTCTTGCGTTTGTTTAGCACCCCTTGCGTATTTTAATTTTTAAGCACCCATGTGAAAACTACAGTTACAACTGTTTTTTGGGGTGGGCGTGGTGGTGTAGAGACAATTTGGGGCTAAGTGGGGGTAATAAGATAAGCCTACGGCTTCGGTGCTTCATGAAGAATTGTTGGAGCATCGGTGGCGTATCTGTAAATAAATTCCTTAAAAATAGCTCTCACATTTCTAGATAGATAGATTTAGCGGTTAGGAGGTGTTCCACACCTAAAATTGTAATTAACTAAGGTTAAAAGGTTATTTTAGGAAATACAATTTAGGAGAGAAACCGAATTTATGATTAGTTAGAGTTCTCCAACTAACTAATTTCAATTTAGCACAATACGTGGTTTTGCTCTTGTGCTTTCAACTAGAATTTTGCTTCCTTTTATTCACGTGCTGAACTCATAGATAGCAAAATCCAGCAAAACTTTTAGTTTTTATCATATTAGATCC